GATGTGTGTGTGTGCTTACATGTGCTCATTACTTTAAGCTGTTCCATGTGTATATATTTGTATTTGTGTGTGTATATATGTGTATATACACATGTCCAGAAGTAGATGTATTTATATGCACATATATACACACATAATGATACCCTAAATAAGCCACCATCCCACCCTTAAAGTATCTTCAGAAAATTAACCCATGGAATAAGCAATAATATGTGAACTATAAACATTCTTGCATGTTGGCAGATAACCATGCTACACATTCCCCTCCAAGAACTGAGAAAGAGAAGAAAGGGAATAACACAATAGCAAAAAAATGCACTAATCAAATCCATAATCAACTTTGATGATAGAGCACGGATTCTAATCAAAACACAATGGGGTAAAGTTGCAACAGGTTGTAAGCTTGGAGCTGCGCACTCTTCCCAGAGGCCTCCTGCACTTTCTTTTCTAAACATCTAAAACATTCACAAAGGATTTCAATCACTTCTAATTACTTTTTTGAAGAAATGAGTTGCAAGTTGAGCACCAAGCTCCTAAAAACAGGAAATATCAAAGTATTTCATATATAATTCCCCCCCCCGACCCCCGCAACTGCTTCTTAAAAATAGGCTAACCTCTCCTCAAATAGCTCATGAGCATTCCTTATCTGAAGTTCGGCGGACAAGGTTTCTGAACTAACACAGAGCATATCTCTAAAAAACAATTCTTTGCACATGGTCATAATTTACACACCATGTTAACGGAGCAGATGCTATAAATGTTCATTCTTGGGGAAAGGCCCAGGTATCCCAGCACCAGGAGGGGAATTCGGGAGGGATGTGCTGTTGCAGATCACTGTTCCCTTTTTACTGCGAGGTTGAGCCCAGCTATAGGTTTGTGGGAGAGTCAAGGTGAGGGGTTTAGGGAGTTGACAGTAGGGCTGCATCTCAGAGCTATTTGCTGGCTTGCTGGTTACTTTCTGTCTTTTCACACTTGATGAAGATGGAGAGCAGGCTTGGGGAAGAATGGTCTGTCACTGGCTAAAGAGAGTTGTCGCATAATAAAAGAAGCTGTGAGAACTGCCTCCATTCCCCTGTAACTATCACGTTGAATATTCTGAATCCCAAGCTAATAATGATAATCATTGTCATTTCCCAAGAGTCTGTTAGGAACCAGGTCTTTTATGGACACCATCCCCCCATCTTCTCATAACAACCCTGCATGCTCAGAATTACTTTCCATCAGAAAGCCAGCATGCAGATCCAATCCTTCAACTGTGAGAAGACTTTACTCTTTTCTCATCATCACATTTTAAAAGGAAGACAGTAGATATGGATGGAGCAATTACCTGTGCATGCAGGTACAGCTTGCCTGAGCCAATATCGAATCCTGCTCTGCACCACTGCATGGCCTTGTTCCTCATCCTTCCCTGTCATGCTCATCTCACCTTCTCTCCTTCCCACCCAGCCATTCCTGCCATCTCTGAAGCCCAGCCACCTCCTGCCTCCTCCATGAGGCCCTCTGGACTTCTCTAGCCCTCACGGTCCTTTCTTTCTTTTGATCCCCAAGCATACCTCCCAGCCCTGTCTGTGATGTGCCCCATTGCCCTTGGAACATCCCTTATGCCTCCCAACTAGACTATAAAATCCCCAAAGCCCAGCCATGTCTTATTTACAGTGTTTATCTGCCAGAGCATATTGGAGGAGGCAGCTATGAAGAGTGGAAAGACCACTAGCCTTAAAGCCAAAACAAGCTGAGCTGGACTCCCTTCTCCATCACTTTGGAGCAGGATGACCTGGAGCAAGTGACTCCACCTTGCTGAGTCTCACTTACTCTTCTGGCTCGGTGATTAGAGCAATGGTCTTATAAATCAAGGCCTGCAAGTAATCAGAAGTCTCTGTGGTTATCTCTGTGTGGCATCATGGTTAATGGCAATGAGTCCACAGCCAGACTATCTAAGTCCTAATTCTACTTCCGCTACTCACAAAGTTACTAACCCACTCTTTGCCTCAGTTGCCTCATGAGTAAAATGGGAGTAATCACACTTATCTCATCAGATTGTTGTAAGAATCAAATGAAGTATTTTATGCGATATCTTTACAACAATTCCAGCACATAAAAAGTGCTATATAATGATTTGCCATTATTATATTATTATTGTTATAGAAAATTATTGTTATAGAAAACATCACATCTGCTTTAAGTGAGGATGAAATGAGATCATATGTAAAGAGCCTGGCACATCAGGCACTTAACAAGTGGTTGTGCCCTTCCTTCATCTTCTCACCATGCCTGGTACTGTACTAGGCACATGATTAATGCTCAGTAAATCCTTCCGAACCAAATGATACCTTCTCAAGGGCTTGAGAGAATTAAGCTATGCCTTTTCTCACTTCAAGGCTATTATATCTAGGTTCAACATGCCCTCTCTTGATTTAGCAATATAGCTAATTTTATTGAGTTCCTTGTTTGCCAGACTCTGGGCTAAACACTTGACATGTTATTTTTCTTAATCCTCACTATTTGTGTGGTTGTTTATACCCATTTTTGCAGAAGGGAACACTGATGCCCAAGGAGGTAAATTGACTAGGTCACTCAGCTAGTACATGACAGAGACAGGACACCATGGATATCCACCTAACGGTAAAACCTGTGCTGTTGACCACCACACAACCCAGCCTTCTGTGAAAAAACTCCTAAATAAAAAAGGAGTCAGAGACCAAAAACATTACTTGCCATTTAAACTCATCATTTCCTGAGTATCTTCTAGAGATAAATACCAGGTTTTAGATCAGGGACTGCCGGATGCCAAGCTAGACACAGTCCTCAAGCCATAATGGAGAGGTTTTCCTGGATGGTGAATGGATACTGTATCAGGCAGTGTGGGAGGTAGCCTGGTTCAAAGAAGGGAAAACTACTTTTGTCAAGGTCACTTTGATGCCAGAGTTGGGCAATGAGAACAAGGATCTGCAACATGCCACAGAGAAGAACCCCCCAGGAAGCCCGGACACAGATAAGAAAAAGGGCAGACTGGTAAAAACTAGGATAGCCCACTGGGAAGTGGCCAATTTCCTTAGCAGTCATCTACACCATCCTCACGGTCAGTGCAAAAGTTTCCTCTGAGGGAAAGGCAGGTGGAATGAGGGCATTCAGCTGACTCTGGGCCAAGAGTGAGGGAGGAAAGCAAAACTTTGAGGGACTGGGACTATCCTAGGCCCTCTGGGAGCAGCTGGAGAACTTTTTTTTTTTTTTTCAAGGAAGAAGGTGATGAATCACCTTTCCAGAGCCTGCCCACTTTAAGTCCTTCGACAATGTTTGTTAAGTAAAGGGTCAAATGGGAGAAGGCAGAACAGCTGCCTGGGTATGAACAATCAATTTACTTTCCCTCTCATTCCTCAGGTCCTCCTCATCAGGCTGGATGTGTGTCACGTCCCAGAGTCACTGCTCTAGCCTCCCACATACTGCCCACCATATCTCACAAACCCCACCTCCTAGGATGAAGGGGAAACACTTGCAATAGTGCATCGCCACTCCCCTCATTCCCATTTGAGTCCACTGGACAAATCCTGTAGCTAACAACAGAAAGAGAAAGCGGAGCACAAAACCCGAGCTGAGACAGGACTCCTGGAGCTTTGGGGAAAATCTTGCCTTCCTCCCACACACCATCACTCATACCTGTCAGCTTCCAGAAACATTTAGCAAGTGCAGCAGCAAGGGGCATGCTTATTAGCCTGGCGTGGGAGCTTAATCCGCTTTGAGGGCCTTCTCCAGCCCAGAGCTCTGAAAGTCTGCTTACAATTAGCTTCCAGCTCCAATTCCTCCATCAGAAAGGCTAGGAATGTGTTGAGTTCTAGCCTCTGATCAGAGAAAGCTCCAGAAAAAGGTGGAGACAGTGTCAGCAGAGAAGTAAGTGCCAGAAAGGTCAGCTGGTGTGTTGCCACTTCCCTGACACCAGCCCTGAACTACCTCCCCCTCTGACTTCCTGTCTCTCCAGACCAGGGCAGTCATATCCGTCAGGTCGCCCTGTCCCCAAAAGTCCCTGATGACTGATTGCCAAGAAAATACAGAGCGTGTCCCTGCTCCCTCCAACCAGAAGAGGGGGTAAAAAATAAATAAATAAAACCACCCAGCAGGAAGGCAGGAGGCCAAGAGAACCTGATTGGCCCTTGCTGCTTTCCTTAAAAGAGACTGAATGGCCAGGGCCTGCCACCTGGCTGAATCGGGCTATGTGGGCTCTGTCTGGAAAGGTAGAAGTCACCACTTCTCTTCAAACCATCCTCCCCAGCCCCACTCCCAGTAAACCCGGCTACCAGCACCGGGATCTACTACCCAGGAAGGAGGGGCTTAGCTTCAAGCCGCCATTCTGAGGCAGCCACCTCCACCCCCACCGCAACAGCCAGCCAAGAAGCTGGGAGTCTCCAGCTGGCTGCCTCAGCTGGTACACTGGGCACTCCTACTGCAGTCCCAGCACCATGGCCGGAATTCTGTCAGTCCAAGGGATGGGACAGGGGCGGGTCATCTTCAAGCCAAGGGGAGCAGGTTCGCTGCCACCCCAGACGCCTTTTCCTGGATCTTGCAGCCAGGCCATGGGCTGTTGAGTCCAACGAAGCCTCAGATCATTCCTTGGCAGGGACAAAATCTCTGCAGAACCGACAGACAGACACAGCCTATACTGCTTTTTGGGAAGCCAAGCCCTCAACATGCAGGACCTGACATTTACAGCTTTGCACACTTTTTTTTTTTTTAACACCCTGGCCATGCCCCCCAAAAGAAAGCCGCAGGCGTGCCGGCACCCGGGGTCTCATACAGATCCCTACGGCAAACCTAGGGCACCCGGGCCACACCCACCGGCCAGCCCACTCTTCTCGCACATCTCCCAATCTGCCGGCCTAAGTGGAACGGTTCCCTTCTCCGCCCACAGGGTAGCCCTTTCTCCATCCAGCCTTGCCACTCTCCCCTTCCCCATAAAAAGCATTCACCCATTCCCCCAGAAGAGTGCCCGGGTACATAGCGCCTCTCACCTGGGTATCGAACCCGTTTTCCACAGAGCTGCTCTTCCTCAGCGGGAGCCCCTCGGCCGCGGGCTCCTGCAGCCCCTGCGATTTCAGGGGGATCTGGCTAGGGAAGGCGGTCTTGCTCACCTCCACCTTGCTTCCCAACTTGAGGTAGCAGGGCTGGGGGCCGCTCCGGGCCGGGGGCACGTGCAGGATGGGCACTGCGCTGTGCACGGGTTTGGGCAGTCCGGACTTCATTTTGGAGGCGACCAGGATGGCCGGCATCTTCTCCCGGGGCTTCGGCTTTCCCAGCACGTCCCTGGCAGAGGCGGCGGAGGCGACCGCTAAAGGCAGCGCGGGTAGCAGAGCAGGCGCCGGGCCTCGGCCCGCGATGCGCCCACCACCAGTGGAGGGGAAAAAATAAATATCCCCGGGTCGGGGAGCTTGGAGCAATCCGACGATCGCGCCTTCGGAGTGCCGGGATGCCGCGGAGGACTTGTCGCGGTGCTCAGCTGGTCCCACCTGAATGGATGCTGCAGCCGGGTCTCACACCCCACCTGAGAGGCCTGTTCAAGGGCTCAGGACGCTCAGGGGCTGTTGCCGCTTGCAATTTTCCTCCTGGGATCCAGAGGCTTGGAAGCCCATATTAAGTTGTCATTGCATCTCCGAAATGAGGAGGCCCGTTGGAAGTGAAGCGGAGGGGATGCACGCCTCCAGTCCCCGGAGGCTTCGGGTGTAAGGCGGCACGGGAAGGAGCGAGGTGCGGCAGGAGGGAAGAAGCAAGCGGCGGAGGAAAGGAGAGGGAGGGCGCACAGAACCCAAGACGTCTCCACCAAGAGGCAGTGGCCGTCCTAATCTCTAGCACCGCAGTGTCACCTGCGACGCAGAGGCGCGGCGAGAGCCCCCGAAAGGTCTCTCTAGGCGTGACAGTCACCACTGCCCAGAAGCCCCCGGACAAATAGCACCTTAGGGCCTGCGGGTCTGCACATGCTCCGTGAGCTATAGCGCAGCAAGGCTGTGGCCGTGGGGCGCGGGCACCAGGACGCGCGGATGAGCAGAACTGCGCTCGCGAGCTGCCGCCGCGCTTCCCGGGAAGGCTGCGCTGGCTACGAGGCTCCGCGCAAGGGAAGACAGGCTGCGGCCCGCGCGGCTGCGGCGCGCGCTGACAGCCCGGGCCGCCCCGGCGCGCCCATTGGTCCGCGGTGCACCAATCAGCGGCCGCGGCTCGCACTGCAAAGGGGGCGTGGCCTCAACTACCCAGCCACGGCCGAAACTCTGGGGCCGCGCTTGGCCGCAAGTACAAAGCCTGCTGGTGGCGGCTCTGCGGCACTACTCTGGCTGCGCGCTTCTTCGCGGGCTGACACCCCCGCGTCCTGAAAGCTTCTTTCGAAAAATGCCCTTTCGAACGCAAACGTCCGCCTCAGGGCCCCGCGGGCACGGCTGGAGGGAAGTTTGTTTCCTTTTTCAAATTATTCTGGTCACCTTAACGGTTCAAGTCTTCCGGAGTCGCGCCCGAGGCCCGGCGTCCCCCCACCCCTACCCCGACCAAATTTGGCCTGGGCAGGGCTGTTTCTCGTCTCTCCCGTTAATAACACGCCAGCTATTCTCTTTTCTGCCTGCTCTGCTAGGCGGCCCGGTGGGGGGGCGGGGGAGGGGAGGAGGGCGGCCTCCCAATAGCTTCCTCTCCAGTTTTCAAAGGCTGCACATTTCACTTAACTATTTGAAGTATTTATAGGCAAATACAATACCCAAGGAAGCTTCCCGCCCCGAAACAGCTCCTCCTTGGAACCTACCACAGACTGTAATTAGAGTGGCCTGAGGAAGCCAGGAGAGGCTCCATGACCCCGGCTGGCTCAAGCTAAACCTTGTTGCATTTCATATAGGAGTCCCTCCCGGTCCGTACCTTGGACACACTGGCCCCACAGGTTCCTCAACTTTAATTGGCCTGAGGATTTCTTCCCCCCTCTCAGTTGCTGTTTGGATTCCTCGCTGACTCAAAAGAATATGACAATTGGAAAGGACGATCCAGGCAGGCCAGTATCCTCCTGGTTCATGGATGAGGAGTCCCCACCCTGCAAACTGCCTGGACTTAAATTGAGCAAGTTCTTTAATCTTATATACATCCATATAAAGCTTTGGTTTTCACTTGGAATAAGGAGGGTTGACTACATTTATATAATTCGCTGTCGTTTGGATTAAATGAGATACGCACGACAGCTGTTTAGCTCAAGTACCTGGCAATGTAAAGGGCCAATAGAAGTTGGGTAGTATTATCCCTATTAAATTACTGCTACTCTCCCTCTCTCCAGACATCTGTGTATAGTATAAGCTGTTTGTCTTCTCTGTCTCAGATACAAATTTTCTCTATATGCACCCTATAGCCTAATTTACTATACTAATAGCAATGATTTATCATTATCCGGACCAGAGGAAACTTCAGTTTGAAAGCAATCTCTTAAAGCAGCATTGAGAAATGAGAAGCTGCCTTCTTGCCCTGGCCTGTTCCCTCTTCCCACCTTATCTTTCACCCATTCTATCTAGTATCTTTCTACTCTAGCTAGGCTGAAATGTACATAGTCTTATATATAATTTCAGATTCTCTCCCTCCCTCTGAAACTGAATCACACATGGTCTGTGCCACTTACCTAGCACTCTGCCCTTTGCCATCTGATGCCACCTTGTTATTTCTCATTTCATGTGTTTATTTTCTTCTTAGAGAGACTCCCAAAGTTAGGAACTGCATTTAAACTTTCACTAGATTCTCTCAGTATCTAGTATAATGCTGTGGACAGAATAACTTAACTACCCAAACTGTTATGAAATAAATGAGTAAATAATGCTAACAGCAGTTCTCCAGGAAAAGATACTTTGAGATTCAGGTACATAGATCATAGGAAATTTTATGCTATATTAAACCTTAGGACTTTTCTATCCAGAATTCTTGTTCTGATAGATGCATCAAGAGTTATGGAAAATTATTGCAGTCTTCAATTTTAAAGGTCATGAAGATATCCCTAAGTATTTCTATGGCCTTAATGCAGTGGATCTCAAAGTATCATCCCTGGACCAGCAACAGCAGCAACAACGGGAAACTTGCTTGAAAAATCTCCACCCCAGACCTACGGAACAAAAAGCTCTGGAGGTAGGCCCAGCAATCAGGTTTATCAGGTATTTAACCCAGTGATTCTGATGCATATTAAAGAGAACGTCCTCCCTAACGAATACATCATGTATTCAGTGCTCTTCCAAGGATTCTTAAACCTTAATACACATAAGAAATATGGAGATCTTGCTAAAATACCGATTCTAATTCTTAGGTCTAGAATGGGGCTGAGATTCTGCTTTCTGGATAAGCTCTCCTGTGATGCCCATGCTGGTGGTCTGGAGATCATACTTTGAGTAGTGAGGCTAAACCTTATTTATCCAAAGAGCTCATCTCAAGGGCCATCTGTAGTTAAGTTACTTCCCATCACACTGTGCTGAAAAGAATTCTGAGGGTACACCTATGTAGTTTAGTTGCAAACAGCAGCTTGATCAATTAAATAATGTCTGTCATGGGTACAGAATTAGAAATAACGACATACATACTATGTATTTGCCATCTTTGAGCTCTCGTTTAAATCATATTTGTTGCCAAGGTCATTTTTTGAGTTCTGAGACTATCAAATATGTACTAATATAAAAAACAATGTATTTTTTCTTTTTCTATTTTTAGTATTAAAAGTACCTGTTTCTAATACTCTAAAAGTTGGTTAAAAAAATGAACATTCTCCTTAACCCTCTATGATTTATATAACTAAAATCTGGTAATATCTCATCTTTCTTGATGGAAAACAAGTGAATCTTTTAGTCTACTTCCAAATTTCTTTCCCTGACTCCTCATCCCTTAAATAATTTTATTTGCTCTTCCCTGGAACATTTTTCATCTCCATTTATATCTTTCCTATAAATCCTCATTTTCCTTATTTAAAGTAAAATAATTTATCATCATAGACAAGTAGGGGGGAGCTATTTTTTCCCTTGGAACAAAAGAGGTAATTGCAAGATTCTTCCCTAACTCAGATCATCTCAAATTATAAAAATGTCCTATAATCTTACTCCTTCCACATAGATACCATGTTAACATGAAAGAAGTCATTTTAAATCAATGTTTGTCAAGCATTAGTAGCTAAAGAAGTCACTGGCAGAGAATGGCAAAATACTTTTAAAAGAACACACTATCCAGGTTTTGAAAAAGTTGTTATTTTTTTTTTATTATATACACTATGGACAGCCCACCATTTTATATCTCAGCTTTGACAACCCTTCTCTCTTTTTTTTCTGTCTGACTCTAAACTTTCAAAATCACCCACATGTCAGTGATAGGGCAATTTGAAACTCTTTACCAATACTCGCAGTACCACTGAATCATCCTAAGAGCTCGGACAGCTCCCTGGTCATGAGAGCCAGCCTCAGATCAGGATGTGCCAGCTGCATCCCTTTCTGATCCTTAATATCAGCCACAGGTGATTAGTTGAGTGTGAATTGGGCTTCAGAACTGACCTGCAAGTGACCAGCCTCATCAACCCATCTTTAATCTGAGCTAAAGACCCCTGGCTGCACCTGATCTCCAAGGAAGACAGTCCTGTGAAAAGCTTATAACATCTAAACCCTAGTCTATCACACACAAAAAAATGTGGGAACCTGGGGAAAAAGTCCCCAGATTTCCTGGAGATTCCCAAGTATAACCAATGAAGGCACATGTTGCACGTCTCTGGAATGATAGGAAAAGCAAAACATTTATAAGTATTTGGGAGTTAAAATCACACAAGCTTATTTTCAAAACTTCACTTTTTCTTAATTTTCTACTACATGGTTGGCAATTTATGACACATTTCAGAAATGGCACAAGGGTACACCTTTTAGTACTGGCTGAGTTCCAGACTGCAGAGAAACCAAGGTAGAAAACTTAGGACAGCCTCTCACTTTCAGATGGGTCTGTGTGAAGATCAATATGTACAATGGTGATCTCTGGGAGATTGGATTTTCCCACCTGCAGATGGTAAAGTGTGAGGAGTCTATGTGAGCGTGAGTGTGTGTGTGTTTACAGGCATTGAGGCAATATCCCTGACTAAATGTCAAACAAATATATAGTAAACTACTGATTAACTACATATGGGATGGCTCAATTATTAATTCAATGAATAAGCTGTTGAGACCCGTCTTTGTACCAGGCTGTGGGCATTATGATAGGGAGCAAATAAGAATAAGTTATTGTTCTCTGATCTCAAGGTTTAAAGAATGACACAGCTGCTTTTTCCCAGGCTGAGAATTACCGTTTTTCATAATTGAAAAATAAAAGACACACAATCCAGCAGGAGAAGCAAACAGGGAAATAAATGACAAACAGTAGAACTAATACTCTAATAGAAGCAGTACAACATAAACTTTGATGAACAAGGCACAAAGGAGCATCATCTATCTATGGAGTTCGCAGCTATTTTGGTCAATTTAACTTTCTGACTAACCAAAAAAAAAAAAAACAACTGAAAAGTAACAGAGAGAAATCTCCTTTCCTTTTCACCCTTAGTGTTGAAACTCTAAGAAATATGGGTCCACTGTTCTCCCTTTATAAGTTTACAACTTGTCTGAGTCCACAAAGGATTTGAGGAAAACCTGTATTCAATCAACTAATGACTAAATATTAATAAAAAATAAATGTAATAGAGAAAAAACATTTAAAACTTAGACTGTGATTCCTTTTGCCTTCTGCAGGTAGGGGAAGGATGTGTAAATAACTCATATTAGTTGGAATATAAATTATATATCGCTTCCTTCCATATTCAGGCTCTAGTAAATAGGCAAGTCTGAAATTTCAGTCAGCCAGTTTTGGGCTACTTGAGAGAGATTCTGAGATGTTATCTTAGAGATAACATTATTGAGCATTTGGATAACAGAAGGGCAGCCCAGAACACAGGGGTCAAGCTACATTGTTATCTATAATAAGTAAGAAAAATTCAGGTTTAATGTGGAAGCCCTCCCCCCTCCCCCACAAAAAAAAAGTGCAGTAGCCAGAGGAATGTGAAGACACTCCGGAGGGGGAACAGAAGAAGCAGGGCACAGGGGAAAGTAAAA